CCTCAGCACCACATTGCAGTACTTGTGGGAACAGTGCGGTGTCCTTAGGAAAAAACTCAGAAAAAGATGACCGGTTGGACGGGATAAATAAAAAAATAACAGGAATTGATGCACGGATAGACGAAAGAAAAAAAACATTGGTTTGCTTAACATGATTTTGCTTAGGTGTACTTAACAGAATAGCTTTACCCATGTTCTAATACCTATACATACTGTCCATGCAATGTTCTTCTCACCAACATACAACCATTGTGTCTTGTACAACTACTCCAAATAATTATTATTTAACTCATTTATTAGCTAGTAATTATACCATATGAAATCGATCACTTTGAAGATCAATTTGAGCTAAAACTAATACAAGTGTTAATTGGATGGTCACCAGTGAAAAAACAAATAACTCACCGGTGCCCGGTTTGGCCAATCGATTAATCAAACCGAATTGCAGTCCCTCAGCTCCAGTCAGAGAGCGCCCGGTTAGGACAAGATCCAAAGCACGCGAAAGGCCGATTAGTGCGGGCAAACGTTGCGCACCCATATCCATCATGGGCAAGCCTAGGAAGAGTGAGAGTTNGTTGCAAGAGCAGAACTAGCTGATGAGAGAGAAAGAGAGACAAGGCTCAGACACATTACGGGGATCTATTCACAACACCTCTAATCGGACTGTTACAAACAACAGTTTCGATAGACTTGTACTAAAGTACTTAGTCCTGTGTTAGCAACTAAAACTCCATAGGAGGTGTATGGATTAAAGTTCTGCAGTATGCTACGGCTTGATCTCAAAAACAGTAACCGAGATAAACACAGCAATCATTCCCAACCCGATGAACACTTGTGAAGATGGATAAAACAGTACTCTTGGTCTGCCGGCAACGATATAGGACAGCCAACGGTAAATTGTTCAATAACTGATACTAAACACATCATAATCAGAACAGATAACAGAACATGAGATCAGATTTTAAAAGCGCAGAAATAATCGGTGGAATCGCGCGATGGGTAACGTAGGCTGTGAACAAAACAGGCAAATCATGCAAAGAGAAAGCCAAGGATCTTGGTGTGTGGGGATGAAAAACACTGAGTGCAGCATTATGCGTTCTAATGTGCACATAGCAGTACATCGAATGAGATAGACGGGAATATAGGGGAAAATGTAGGAACCGAAGGATCAGGTGATATGGCGGTGTGTGTCGGGTGGCCATGGTCTGGGATCCTCTATACCCTCGCCCTCGGTCTGTCAATATCCTTTGGATTACGTAATGGATAGATAGCGAAACAAAAGGTATTACATATTATTCTTGGTCAAGGGTCAGATGCAGAACAATACCACTGGCATTATATTGTATAAGTGGAATTGATATGAGACATAGACAACTTCAACTGAGCCAAGTGCGACAACAGTACCGATTATGACTGAACTCCACGGGAGTACAGATGTGATCTCCGCCTGGAATCTGCCAAAGGTCACCTGTTAACCTTTACACTGAGCAGTAGGAGACGAAATTACTTACTGCTACCTACCTTAAAAGATTGCACAAATATCAGAGAATTTGCATTCTGATCATCGCCACTGACTAACTAACGCCTTTGGAATGAAGAAACAAAAGGGAGCGGGTTCGGATGGATACGGAAATGATCACGGCTGCTTGGAGCGGCCTCAAGTCGTATGTACCAGTGGTCAAAAACTTGCAAGTGTTGTCAACTTGATTGGATTGTGATACTTTCTTACACAGGTCTTCACAACGAGGATTGAGTAAAACGCACTACATGTACCAGATATAGACGACCGGGGTAAGGAAAACATTATCTGTAACCCCTATTGTGAACATTGTTCAATGACTGTAACTCGCAGACGAGCACAAGTCATAAGGGTCAATGTACTCGGACTGGAAGGATGGAAGTTAGTCGATTTCACTGAAGAACAATGATTTTCTACGAATAAAAATGTGGTTTGAAGCAATAACAGTGAAGTGTTCATCGTTTGCAAACTGCCTTTGGTAATGACGTGCCTTCAAAAAGTAATGTATTTGAGGGGTTTGTGGAATTCAAGTGTGGCAGGCGGTCCTTGGATGATGAGATATGGTGTGATCGACCTATGGAAACCGTCACAGAGGACAACATTGCTGCTGTGGAAACGTTGGTGGAGGAGGATGCGCGCCTGACTGTGGCACAGCTGAAGAAAGTCATCGGGATCAATCTGTACCAATCTACACGAGCAGTGGGACCTCAAAAAGTTTTGCGTCAACTAGGTACCCCATCAGCCCGGTGAAGAATAGAAAGCAGTTTATGGGTGAATTTGTGTCACACCATGATTGCCCGGTTTGATGGTGGATCGTTCAATGCAGTTTGGGATATCACCGGTGCTGATAAGACCTGAGTGTACAGTCTTGATCGAGAGATCAAGCAACAAACGGTGCGGTAAACACCGGTTGGTGCGGCGCCGCCTCAGAAATTCCACGGTGAGCGCAGTGTGACAAAACACATGATGGCTGTGTTCATGGCCAAAACCGGTCATGTGGCTACTGTACTGCTCACAATCAAGAGAGACTGGTTTACCACCCACTGTCTGCCGGAAGTGCCGGAAGTTTTTTCCAGGCGTCGTTCAAGGACTAGAGCACGAGGGACCTGGCCGCACCATAAGAACACACCTACACACCGGTCCCCTGTTGTCGGCGATTTTCTGGCTAGAGAACACATCCAGGAAGTTGGTCACCCATCCTAAGGTGCACACCTGGCTCCGTATAACCTTTTGTGTTCCCAAGTGCCAGGCGCACGATGCGTGAAATCCAATATGAGTAACCGACATCTGCAGTGGAGGCCTTCATAGAACTGGTCGGAGGGTTACCCGTTCCGGCATGATCGAGCTGTTTCACCAAATGGTTTGAGCGCATGAAACTGTGCATGAACACTGGTGGAGAATACTTCGAGAAAATTTAGTATTTATTTTTTTTTGTGATAAATTAAACATTACGTGCGTCCAGAAACGTTTTGCTCAGTCTTCGTAGGAAGACCGAAGTTGATCATTTCTGATTGCATGGAACTCGATAGTGCATCAAACTGTTTGTTTAGAACCAGTAAAAATATTTCTCAGTGATACATCGTTTCCCCATTCTCATTTGATCTGGGCGCACACGAAACATGTGGGCGTGAACAAGTGACAGCAGGTGTCCGTTGGTGAAGAGAAACATTGCTGGATAACAACACATGGCATTCGCACGAATACCACCTACTCAGCACCGATTTGGCCTGCTCGAATCACACATCTCCCTGTGAAGGGAGGGAAAATCAACGAAAATGGAATTTTCATGTCATTTAAACTTTACAAAACGGTTAGCAGACGAACAACAAAATCATGGGGGAAGGAAACAGACGCCAGCTGGAATTTCCCATCCGATGATGAATATAGCGGCAATTCGCGTAACCGAGACTAACTAAGCTGTTGGAAGCGGAAGAAAGCGTGTTAACTACTCAATCGTGTGTTTTTACAACCTTACATAAATAGACTTCGTAGACCGGAACAGGTTTAGCAAAACGTAATGACTCACAATATTTTCGTGGATGCAAACCAAGCACCGAATCGGTCTCGGCCACTCGGAGATCACAAGCTAGGGCAAGTTCCAATCCACCTCCGATTGCTTTGCCCGTGATCGCAGCAATCAGCGGTTTGGACAAATGCATCCTCGTTGGACCCTGTAAGAACGTATGGACAAGTGATGAAAACCCCGACCCGGCAATGCACAATCCATGCGTTCAATCAATGCCTGTTCAAGAGGAAAAGTGCGTCGCGCAACACAACGATAATACAATTAGAAATGAGTGCTTACACAGGGACCACACGTCAAAAGAGATTCATCTAGAATAGTATTCAACAAAGCTTTCTTAAAGCGTCGGATACTTCAACTGCCTCTACCAGGATAAAATAGAGAGTGAAACTCCACCGTGAAAATAAAATATCCCAATCACGCGAAAAAACTGCTTCTTCCATACCTCGCACCGAACAATAAACCGCAATCTTCGGTGTGAACCAGATTGTGGGGAAGGAAAGTTAATCTTAAACTTTCGGAATTAACCTTCGTCTCCTCCTCCTCCAGGTCGTCTTTGAGATTCACATATTCATACATTTTGCTTTAGCACTCATCACATCCTTCCCATTTGAAAATTACGTGCCTATTTGCTGCCCACTCATTCACCACGGTTTTCCAGTTCGGTGTTGTGCGGTGAACCAAGAAAATCTATCCTCATTCTGCGTAACCTATCTGTCTATCTGTTGAACAAAGCTACCACGCCAGTACACGTACGAAACGAATGGTAGAAATCATAAAGCGTAAGCGCGAATTATCAATATTCGCGAAGCGAATAGGTCAGGAGGAATGAGATAAACTCCGGGGTTTCTTTTATGCCATGAACACGCACCAAGAAATAAATACTTCGTCTGATACAACAAGAGAGAAAATAGATTTGAGCGGAAGAAAAATCAAAAAGTTTGCCCAGTTTTGGACTGTCACATGTGATCTTGAAAGCCCTACCGAGCACTTTACAATCGGTTCAGTTTCCAATGAAATTCTCCACATTCCCGGTCTACCCGAAACGCGTGACAGTTTCAACTGGACTGACACGTGACATAAGCGTGGTTCAGTACCCGCATCTTGTAATCACAGAGACCTTGGTTGAACAAATCAATATAGTACATAGCTGACAGCTGAAAACCTTGCGTAATGTACTATCCTAATCTGTGGCATGTGTAGAACAAACTGCACCTGAACGTCAGTTAATCATAAAGCGGACAGCTTAGCACAAACCAAACGTGACAGATCCTTGTGTTTTGTCATCCGGGCACATTCAAAGGTTTAGTTAAAAGAATATACTCTAGATGAAACAGTAAATTGTCGATTAAGCCATAACACCACAAATGCTTATTTAGACTAAAAGCTGTTTGTTTTGTTTTTCGTAAACCACCTAAGGAGAAACTGCTTGGATAGCCTACCTCACGAAAACGTGAACCGAATTTGGCACTTGACGTGGGAGTTGTAATCACCGTGGAAGGTGCAACAGCACGAACTTAGTTGCAAAAAATCGATCCGCATACAAAGATCAGCCTGGAAACATGAAATAGAAAATGCTTCCCCCACCCACCCGATTGCAACACCAGTGGTGTGTTTGGGGCTGCCAAAGTGGTTGCAACCGATTTAACTGGATGGTAGTTTGGACGATTTCGGGCCCCAGATCCTTTGACACTTGGATTTAGATACTGGTAGAAATTCGGCTCCCAGTTGCCCAGTCGTACACCGTCGCGTGGTTATACCGAAAAAGGTTTACCAAATTCGAGTTTGTGCATGCATCTGCCACTCGATGGGACAAACGTAACCCGTTTAAGTAGGTCGATATCATAGAGAGTCTCAAACGACGGTGTTCTTGTAAGACTGTATTTATTATCACTAGTATGCTGTAACAACAAGTCAGGTTCTGAATTCGGTCAGCTGAGTGACAACCCAAGAGGCTATTGCAACGATGACTGACGTCTGATGTCCGTAACAAACTTGCAAGGATGGGCTATGACTTATTCTGATCAGCTGTCCAGTGTCCAGTGGATAGTATGCTTGCTTTTTACCTGCGAGGTCCAGGGTTCGATCCTCACTTGCCTCAATGTTTTCACCTTGTTGATGAGAACCAACAAGGTGGAAACGGTTGCACAGCGAGGGTTCGGAGCTCTTCAGTTATACATGTTATTTTTTCTTGCTCTAAACACGATAAAATTCATTATGTAAAAGAATACATTCTCATAATTCCGATGTTTTTCAATTCAAACTAACCATTGGTCCATCGCTACTGTTCTCGTCCAAGCCATAGCGATTCAAACAGGCAGTTTGCGAGGTGAGCAGTTCGTCACGATCAAGCCCAGTGCAGAAATCCTCACCGCATCCGTACAGGACACCACCGTATACAGTCGGATCCGCCTCAAATTCCTCTTGGACGATGCGAGTCAATTGATTGGCAGTTACACGATCAATTGTGTTACGGTGTTGCGGACGATTTAAACCAATGAGTAACAATCGTCCCAAACGTTCAGTGATCACAGTATTCACTGTGTGGAGAGAAGCCTGAAACGTGCGCAAGGGAAAGTGAGAGCGGATTAGCAAACGACCTTGACTAATGCTGAACAAGAAACATGCAAGCAGATGAGTAAACCCAGATGGGAAAACACGCATCTTGTATTCACGACACACACCGGTTCTACAAAAGTAGTTGAACAGAACGGTTTGTGAAGCATAAAATAGGAGAGCGAAAAAAACGCATATCTGCGGACCGATATATAGCTTTTTATGGCAAAACAGTAAGTGACTATCAAACAATTAGGATTTATCGATGATAAAACGTACATTGTATAGATGCACAGGAAACAGCTGTGGACACAGCCATGGACACCAACCCCATCGAGGTTACCATTCTTTTACAAATCCCGATACAGATAAATATTTGAAGGTTTGTCAGTCAAAACTAATATACCTTATTCCACGCCACTACTGACAAGTAATCGTCACATGTGAACGAGAATCTTGTAGTAATAAATGATTCCGGCTAGTTAGGAAATTCATCCCGTAAAACCTTTTACGCTATGTTTTAACTTGCTCTACCAATTCCAGACTGCTTGTAAGCGTCGTTTGTCTCCCCTTTATAATCCACATCCCCAAAGTCAAACCCCCTGGAAAATAGTTATAAACTATTTATATAATCCCATGCTAGGTACACTTCAATATCTCCATATTTCCGGAATTTCAAATGGCTATGTTCTTACTATGCCGTTCCGTACTTCCGTGGCCGTCTAATCGGATAATACGATCACTGTCCACCTCGCTATCTCGCTTCGTTTATCGCCCGCCTCACCAAACTCCTTTTGGATCGTTTGACTGAGTCAACCTGTATATATATATATATATATATATATATATATATATATATAT